TGCCGCGGGGGGGAGGTAGGTCCCAGCCCCGGGCTCGGCTAAGCCTTCGCTTCCCCCGCGGGCGCGGCCCGGCCCTGCCCTACCCCTGCTGGGGGGCGCGCAACTTCCGCAGACCCCGCAGGCACAGCGCCGCGACGGGTTGTGCCCGGCCTGAGGGAGCTTCGCCTCTGGGCTGCGCGGGAGGCTCCGGGCCGGGCCCGTCCTGTGTGCAATAGATCTCTCTATATCTATAATAATGTATTTGTAACGTATAGCATATTAGCAGATAGGGTATATAATATATAGTGTGTATGTGTATCTACATGCTGTACAGTATAATATATATCTATAATGTGTGCATGCATGTATCTATATATTGTATGTATACAGGGCTTTCATAAAGTCCTTGTGCACTTCTAAACATCAATAACTTAGGTTGTAGGTATGATAAACACAGTCCATAAACAGCATTTAAAAGCAAATTTATTAAAGTTTTAGGACAACTAGAGTACACAGTGCTAGACTTCAACGTATTCACCATCCATCATGACACGGTGCTCAATCTGATCTTCCAACTCCTTGAAAACATTTCCCAGTTGCTCCTGAGTTACTGCACTAATTGCATTGGTGCAGAATGTGGTTTTGACAAGTAAACTACACTTTTAACATGTCCCCATAAAAAGAAGTCCAGTGGCAACAGGTAAAGTGAGCAACATGGCCAAGAAATTGGTCCACCTCTGCCTATCCATTTCTCTGGGAAAATGCCATTTAGGAACTGTCGTACATTCAGAGCATAGTGGCACCAAGCTCTATCTTATTTAAGAATAAATTCATTATTACTGATGAAGCTTAGCATTGTGTACTCTAGTTGTCCTAAAACTTTAATAAATGTGCTTTTAAATGCTATTTACAGATTGTTTCTGTCATACCTACAACCTAAGTTATTAAAGTTTAAAAGTCCACAAGAACTTTATAAAGACCCTGTACATATATGCCTAAATCTGACTTTACGCAGCTTAAGCACTAGGTGAAGTAGTATGAATCTAGAGAAGAAGCCACTGACAGCCATGTCTGAGCTAGGCACTGGGCAGTGTTTCTCAACCCATGGGTCACGGGTGGCACAAAGGTGGGTGGCAAGGGTACATGAAAGGGTTGTTGACAAACTTTAGAAATGGATTCTCTTTTAAAGGAGAAAACTGTGGTTTTTCCCTTGCATGCCCACCCCTGCTGCCCCACGCACTAGGGAGCTGGGGCCTGGGGGTGGGGAGCAGTGGGTTGCGACTGAGGGGCACTGTGTCAGGACTGGCCACTAATGGGTCTTGGTACAAAAAAGCTTGAGAACTGCTGAACTAGACTAGACCTCTGGAGGTCCCCTCTGGAGTCCCTGCAGCGACCTCTTTGTTTTCGCCCCATTTTTAGTTTCTGTTCTTTTGGTTGCCAGGACTCAGGCAGGCCACAGTGGGGCAGGGTGTCGTGAACGCCCTGTGTTCATCTCTGACCTCTCTGGGGTGAGTTTGTGCACTAGTGCTGCCATTGGGTGGTGGTTGTGCAGCCAGAAAACTGCCTCTCTGTTTTGAGGGCTGGGGTCTGCCAAGTCAGTCGTTCTCAACCTTTTTCTCTTCTTTTATTTTTGTAAGGCTTATGTTGAAGGCCAGCTTTGGTTGGTTTTCACCTTTTCTGACTACAGAGAAATGCTAGAGCCGTTCCTTTTGCTGCAATCAACTTGGAAAGCCCTCTCCCGATCAGATTGTTTTTGACTAAGTTTAGATTATGGATTTGAACAGAAAGATTTGGATCGGGCTGAACGTGCCTCAGGCAGGGGTTGGCTGCCCTAGATGACCTCTGGAGATCCCTTCCAGCCAGACTTCTCTGTGCTTCTCTGACACTAGATCCCTGTTTGAAAGCTGTGAGTTTATCTGGTCACATGGCATGCATGGCATGGCATGTTATGCTAACATGGCATGGCACCTTGTAGCAAAATGATCTCGAGGCTCATCAGCATGCCATTTCCCCCTGGCTGAGAATTGCTGTGATAAGGACTAGATTTGATTTTAAGCGGAGTTGAAATTTGTTGTAGATGTGGAGCCCCTTCTGGTGACTTCTGATGATTGACTTAAAAGCCGGTACATTTTTATAGGTGTGTAGAATTTATGGGTGGTTAATGCAGCTAAATGGAGCATTTCAACAGGCCTTGTGCTGAAGCAACCAAATGACAATAGAAACAGTGATGAAGTATGTGAATTCAATATAAGTCGACTTTCACCTTTTATGCCAAAAAAAAAAAAAAATCGCAAGATGTAGTTTAATAACCATAGAAAAAAATTTGCATTTTTTTACCTCAGTGAATCAATAGAATTTGTTTCCATGGCGGTTGGTAGAAAAAACAAAACAAAACTCTTGCCCATGCTACATCTGTGCTGTGCCATAATATTGTAAACTAGCAATGCAGTATGCTCTCAAAAGTATGCTACAAACTGTTCAGATATATAAGTTCCAATCTGTGAAATGTCTGGAGGTAAGCGTAGTCTGCCTTCAGTTTTGTGAATTTCCATGAATCCAAGCTGTCCAGAAAATTACTTCAGTTGTAGCACAGTGGTAGGCAGTTGTCAAAGTTAATATCAGAACTTTATTGCTATAATAACCCATATAAACACAGTACAATGCCAATAATGTTAAAACATGTCAAACAGAGAACAGAGACTGTTTAACAATGAATGCACAATACACCCCTTCATATTCAAGAGCCCAAAACATTTTACAAATACAAATTAAATTTTGAAACTACTGAATGAGGTAAACCATGACCCTGCTTTAGAGATGGCAATATGCATGTCCATAGCAGAGCTAAAAGTATAAGAGTCCTGATTTCAGCCCTAATTCTGCAGCATGCATATAGTTCAATGAGACTAGACACTGACCTACATTTAAGTCAGCAGCATTTTTTGTGCAAGTAAAGCTATCGCCTGCATATGCATCTGTGACTCAGTCTAACAGACTTGGCCCTTTTGTTTCCTTGGTCCATAGGATCTGTCTACTCCTGCTTTCTACACTTCCTCAGTATTTATGGCATGCACATTACAATAGTTTCTGAAAACCTCGTGCTCTTTAAATTCTCACAAACCTTCTATTTGGTCTTCCTATTTTACAGAGGAGAGAGCTGAGGTTCAGGGAGAATCAGTCGTACAGGAAGTCTATGGCAGAACAGAGGACTGAACCTAGCTGTTGTGTCCAAAGCTAGCAGTCCGTGGTCTTTGATTACTATGTGCAGTCCATTTAATTGGTACAGTTCTTAAAAGCATTCTTTGTGAAGCTAAGAAGTATTTCAACTTAATTTTAAACATAGGATCAACAGATTATAATTAAGTTATCAGATGTGGTTTTTTTCTTTGTTATTTACTACCAATGTAATGCTCAAGGCAGTTTAAACTATATTTTGAAGAAGAGAAATATTCTTTCCTTAATATTCTACCTTGGATACCAATTGCATTTTTCTTCATAATTTGCCTCCAATTGAAAAAATGTTTCATGTGTAAGAAAAGCCCTGTGGTGGAATATTTTTGGAGAGTAGCTGGAAGATGCAGCAGTTTGAACATCCAATAAAATTCAACTGACTCTGATATGATAAACATAACTTAAGCCCACAAGGGAAAGAATATGTGCATAACTGAGTGGCTCCTATCTTGTATCTTAAGTAACACTAAGTACACAATTACTTAATCATAAAAGTATGTCACCATTCTCTCCAAGCAAAAGAAACCAGCTAAAAAGCTTCAGAAATTCCCAAAGGCCTGTTATACCCATCACCAATGATTTATAGCTGCACTGAAGTGTTAAATACTTTATTATTATTATTGCTCTTTGATAGGTTTCATATTCAAAGCAGATACCTTTCTCCATTTTCAGAGTCTCAGGTTGATGAGATAAAAAAATTAAATCGTAGCAGTTGCCGAACGGACTTGGGAGATTTAGCAGGCGTTGCTTATGGTTCAAGAAAATGTATGAACAAAAAATTACTGTCACTAATGGCATTACAAGAAAAATGTTTGGTTTCTTGTAGTTTTAGCTCTGGTTGAATCTAATATTGCTTTTTGTTTCTCTAGCACCTTCCAGCTGAGGATCTCAAAGCATTCTAAAAATATGAGTGTAAATGTGCAACACCTTATCCTATTATCCCGAGATGAGGCAAATCTGAGACACAGTGAATAAGCATCTGACCTTGACAACACTGCTGAGCACAGTGCTTATTAGTGGTGAGTATTCTCTTTGATTAATGGGCCTGGTAGTGAGTGTTTACCAGATTGAATTTTAAGTAAGTTGTTGGAAGTTGCACAATAAATCCATGTCAGATTCAGGAATTAGAATGGCATTTGCTGGATCCCCAATTCCACCTATGCACATAGGGCAAAATGCTGTTAAAAATTCTTCCCAGAAATAATTGTATTCCTTCCTTGCACTGATAAGGATGTCCCCTACTGACAACACTCTAGATGAATGATTATCAACTTTGTCAGACTGTAGGTACTCCATAGAAAATGCCAGTTCTTAGCTTTTGCTTGTTTTTTGACTACGTAAAAATAATAGAGTGGTTGTTCTTTTGCACAGAACTCAGATCATAACAGGTCAGAATGTTTTGGACATTATGAATTCCTATTTAAAATCTCTAGGTTTGCTTTACATGCCATGTGTAGGTGTTTGTAGATGCCTACAGCTGCTAATATTGCATGGCACCCTTTAAAAGATCTTGTGGCACCCCAGTTGAGAATTACAGCAGTAAATAGACTACTGTAATGAAAACAAAAGGGTAAAATTTTTGTTTAGTAACTACAAATAGGGAGACAGTGTTGGCAATAATCTGTATTGGTTTTCGTTTACTCCTGCTTTCGTTGTACACAAAGGGGATAAATATTAATGCTAAAACATCTCTTAATAATGTCTATTGTATTTAGTATTTAAGTTTAAATTTGTTATACTGTCTAATGCATTTTGTGTACTGTGTCTGTAGCCACACAAGTTGTCACCATTATTTAGGGAACAGCAATAAGCACTTCGGTGTCCATGCCCAACAAGGTATAGAATTAGAATTAATTGTTACTTCCATCTTTTCTCCCCCTAGTCACTTCAAAGCAGGGGTGGGTAAAATATGACCCATAGGCCAGATCTGGCCTGCAGAGGGATTTTGCCCAACCGGCAGCGGGTCCCTTGGTCCCACACAGCTCGGGCATGAGGGGCAGCCTGAGCCATTGCACCTGTGGCTGGTCCCACTGCCCCCCAGGCACACAGCAGGGTAGGGCTGACAGAGCAGTAGGTCTCCATTTCCTGGCAGCTCCAGCAGCAGCGGCATCTCCTTCCAGCTGCTGCTGCCAGACTCAGCCTTGCTGACCAGACACCCTGGCCCACTCACCCCACACCACAGCAGCCACTGGAGGCAGGACCCATGTGGACAGGACACTGGGCCAGGCACTTGGGATGGGGTCCTGGCCTCACCTGGCCATCCCCCTCCCAAACACCACTCCCTGCCTGCCTGCAGCCCCTTCCCACATAAGGAGTTTTGGTGAGCTGTTATGTGGGGGTGGGGTGGAGGTGCTTACCTGGCCTGCAACAGCTCAACAAAACTCCCTATGTGGCCTGCTTGCCCAAATAATTGTCCATCCCTGCTCTAAAGCACGTTCAGACACTCTTTACATGTTTAGGCACTTACTTATGTTGACAGGATTCTGGGTGCAAAAGGAATCCCAGAATGCCTGTGACGTACATTAAAGTTGGAAAATTTAGCTTAACTTGGAGTTTTCTTTACTGTTTTACTTAAAGTTTTTTTACCAGGTTATGAAAGTATGCAGGTCAAAATACAGGTACAGTAGCTAACTTTGCCAGGTACAATAGCTAACATTGTGATTAATTTGAATTTTAAATGGGATTATTTGAATCTTTATTGTTAAACATAAGGTCTGATGCACACACTAGAGCCTGTTCTTCAGGTCTGACTGAAAATATCCTAAATTAATCTTATTGCTTCATAATGCAGGAGTAGAAACTGTTCCATGGCATCAAATTACCTAGTGCTTAAAATTTCTTATGCAGTTCGATCCTAAATAGTGATGCCTCTTAGAGACCTTAACTATACCTTGGACTTGCTTAGTTGCAGGTTGTTCCAGCATTGCATTTAGTAATTTTTGGTATAAATTACGACAGGAAAGTTGTTAGAAAAATCCTGTCCTCCCATTCTACTGGGAAAACACCTCTTCATGTATTGTCACATAAACTGTCCCCTTGCACAGAGATGCCACCCCCAGGGCCAAAGTGGCTCGCAGTTGGGCAAAATGAGTGCCTCAGTCTTGCACACTAGTTAAAATCATTGGGCGCATCCACACATGCAAGCATGTGCGCTTGCAGCAGCTTAAATAGAAGCAGTGCAAATTTGAGCCAGGGTTTTTTGCTTCAGCACATGTGCCTGGACATGCACTTTGATGTGGGGCAAATTGTGCCACTTGGAGCAAAATAATCCTGCCTATCTCCTCCTGGATCTGCAGCCAGGGGGAGCTAGAGCTGTAGGCCAGCACCTGTGTTGGCCCCAGCAGTACAAAAAGCTGCCCTGTCAAGTAGCTCAGGAGCTTCTGGGGCCCAGCCAACTGGTATCTGGAGAAACTAGCCCAGAAGCAGCCGTGAGAGCTCCCTGCACCCTCTACCCACTGCAGCAGTGTGACAGTGGAGGCTGCTGCCTGCTATGACCTGCTGCCACCTGCAATAATATGTGGCCCCAAGGCTGCACGCCTGCCAGACCTGGATGGAGACTGCACAGCCAGTAGAGGCACCTGCCCCTTTGTGCCAGCTGCCAGCGGGCAGTGGCTGCACAGTAGCCTTTGTGCAGCACTACTCCCATGTGTGCCCCTGCCCAGCCATCTGTGCAGCTGTCACCTGGAAGATGTTCCTATGTAGTGGCCTGCTTCAAAGCTGGGTCCCAGGTGCCAGCCCTGAGCAGGCTCTTCTGCCTGGGTCCTGCCATTCGCGTCACTACCAGGAATTCCAGTGTTCCCTATTTAAAACCTGCAAAATCTCTGAAAAAAATCCCAAATTAACTCTTTAAAATACCCCAAAATCTATGTTCTTCCACAATTAAAATGAGAGAGATATCAGTTGGACAATGTTTTATTAATATATTGACAATTGTAAAGCAACTTGGAAGCCTACCAGTGCCTCCATTATCATAGTAAAATAAATTCTAATAATCTATACAGTTTGGCATTGACTTTGGGCTTCTCTGTTATGGAAAAATCAGAGCTGCCCCTACCACCTTCTCTCACCAGGATGTGCACTGTTGAGCAGCACTGATATACCACTGCCCTGCCCTGGCCCTCATTCTGAACCCACAGCTTACACCATGACCCATTTCCCTCATTCCTGCCCCACAGAGCCAGGAATGTGGGTGAGGAGTTTTTGGGGGTTTGGGGTTTGTGGGCATGGAAGGGGCTACAAGGGGGCTGCTCAGGAGGGGTCAGTCCCCTGTCCCCCACAGGGCACAGACCCCCTGCACACCTAATGGACTGCTCCCCCACAGGGGTCACATGCCCCTCACAGAAATCACAGCAACTGGGGCCTGGGCTCTGTGCCAGGTAAGTAGAGGGTGGAGGGAAACTACTGAGGGTGCAAGGGACCATGGGGAGGCAGCTCGGGAGGGGTGAGTCCAGTGGCCGCCCCCCCCCCCGCATGGCTCT